CTGCAATACGTTGAACAGGATCCTGACGTATACCGACCGCCATCTGAACTTTTACGGCGAACCGAGTCAGCCTCATCGTTTTAGACGCGGTGTCGCGCTTATAAAAGTATTGTGGAACAGACTGTACAAAAAAAGCACCGCCAAACTATGAGCCAACTACTACTTGCTTGAATGCTTTATTTAAGATCGAAAACATCCGCCTGAATGACAAGCTAGCAACATTGTACAATTGACCTTTAAGCCTGACAGAAGTACCTAGGTCACGGTCTTCGGCAACGGCCACTGCCAAGGCTTCCTAGGCTGCCCTCATATTTCTCAGAAGTGCCGGTCTGATTGCACGGCTTGGAATACTCTTTTCTCACAGATTAACTAGAAGGTGAAATCAAACCCGTACATCATGAGACCGTAATCATCGTCACCGCCTTCCTTTCATTTTTTTTATGACATTCTTTCTATCATCAACATAAGTAGCCTGTAGAGATAACGGGTCTTTTTCGAGTAACAAATGCCGTCTCTGGGATTGTTTTCAAACTACAAATGAAGAGCTGCCCGACCTGCCTCTGCTCGTCAGAAGGTATTAAGTTTCGTGCCATTGTTTCGCCATTGGCTTTTTATGCCACATAACAATGCTAAAACAAAATCGCAAAAAAAAAAAAGCGATATACAGCAAGCGGAAGGACACTGTTATTCGCATGGGACGGTGCCCTTCGGAAATGACAACAATGTGAAGCGGGGCCAAGGGACAGAGTGTAAGCATGTGCTTACACTTTTGTTTTCAAAAGCTTTCAAGCCCCGTTGTCCCCCCCCCCCCCCCCCCGGCTCCGGGGTCCCTGAGTGCGCCTCACGAACCCTTAGTCGGGAGAAGCGCATAGGAGTGAAGGGGCGCCAGTGTGATAACCTCAGAGAAACTGCGGATACACCGGACTAGGGTTAATATATCTCGTTACTTGAAGGGCTCTTTAAATAATGACACATTTATTCACAACATGTACGAGTGTTTACCTAAATCAACAAAGTTTAATCTTCCAAAGGTATGAACGACAATCAGTTTCATAACTAAGTTGCAATTAAACAAAGAAAATATGTGTATGTTCTACGTTTACTTCTCGTGTTAACGCCGGAGAAGTAAACATCCTTTGCCAGTCGAACATTTCGCTAAAGGACTGGATTCCACTGTCTTTTTTTAGAATTTTGGCACGTGAGTTTGGCCCTAGCATGTTGCCATAAAGCAGTGGCGGATCCAAGGGGGGGGGGGCGACGGGGGCGGCCCCCCCCTCCCCCCCCCCCCCCCAAACAAAGTCGACCTCCCTCCCTCCCCCCTTCTCGGAGGACAATTGACATGGGTGCACAAGAAAGAATGGGGGAATAGTATCCTTAAAAATTTTCCGCCCCCCAAAAAAACAAACAAACAAAAAACAACGGAGATCTGGATCCGCCCCTGCCATAAGCTAATACCTCAACTCATATTTGGTTTAAGAACGTGCTTTCTTCTTAAGGCTCGTGAAAAAGACGCTGGGGGTAATGACCCACCTGCATTAGGTCTTTATTTCGAACTATTTTTGTTTCCGTTCCGTTTATTGAAAAGCATTGCGAAGGACCCCAAGCATGCCGCTGTTCACGCCGCACCGCCCTGTCTTTCTATGATCACCCTCAGCATGGCGATCATGAAGGTAAGAAGCTTGTGGAGGCGACATGACGTCACCAGAGTTAAAGCCCGGGGAGACTTCCGGTTTTGAGGTACACGCCCCCAACGGAGGTACACGCCCCCAACGATGTCCAAAAACGACCGGAACCAGAAGACGATTTCCGACGGACTTGGCCAATCCGGGGACATTCCTACCGACCGTGACCTCTACTTCCGGCTTCAGTTGAGATTTTTGTTTTGTTTTGCTGACTTGAGCCGGTATGTTTGGCGTTAACGTTGTATTTAAAGCGCAGAACAAGCTAGAAAGGTTGACGCCTTTTTCAGGGACGGGTCTGGGGTGTACAAAAAAACACCGGGATCCAGCGGTGCCTTGTCAAGAAGAGGTCGTTTATAATATTCCTTTGCGGTGTGGGTTCTCCTACGTGGGACAGACTGGTCGATGTATAAATGATCGTATATTAGAGCACAAAAGGGCAGTTCAAAATAATGCACCGAAATCTGAAATTGCTAAACATGTAGGCGAGTGTAACAACTGTGTACCAGAGTGGGAGGGTACTGAAGTCGTACATAGAGAAAAAAATAGCCATACTAGAGTGTTAAAGGAAACTTTGCGTATTTTAAGCTTCGGGATCTGTATCAGTCAACCTTTATTATCTCTTGATAAGGGAACAAAAAAGTTTCTAAGTTTATAATTTTCTTTTTTTTTTTTTTTGTTAAGTGCTGGGTCACTTGTTTCGTGGTTCGGGTTCTTCTCTTCCTTTGGGGTTATTATTTTTTTTTTCCGGGCAACCTTGTTTGTTTTTTGATAGGGGAACAAACGAGTTTATAAGTGATGTTTGGTTCAGTCTGACCTTGCCAAGTGCGGAAGTTCCTGCATTCCCTTTTCGAGTTAGTGTCCCTTTGTGTTTTGGGCGTGTTTGCTTTGTGTGCGTTTGTCGGTTTATGTTGAGAATGAGGGTACTCTGTGAAGTGGGCGAGGAGGTCTTTTGAACTGTTTTGGAGGTCGGTGACGTGTATATGAGACGATGGTTGTTAAATAAATTTTCAAGCTGTGTTAGAGACTTCGTTGTACTGTCCGTTCTTTTATTTTTCCTTCGTCTCAGGGTTATTATGGATGTCGCCTCCTGTTCTTCTTACTTCCATGTTGGCAACGAAGCGTCCTCTGAATGCACATACACGCGAACGGAGTGTTTGAAGCCAGTGACATTCGACGCCACTTTCCGATATCGCTGGTTAAAGTGAACCCTGCATCCGCCGAACTGCTTTAACTTGCGTTAATAATTAAGCACAACTGTCTTTAATAAATGTAGGGTGATTCTACATTTTGAGAGAAATAAAGGAAATAAACAAAACACGTTGTCGGGGGCAGCATGCTATCCGCACACACGCTCGTTATGGTTCCATTCTTTTCTCTTTCGCAAGTCGTGCCTGAGTGCAACTTTAACGTGGGACTCGATCCTGCCCTTTTGCGAACGGATGTTGGCGTATGGCTCTCAGTTTTGTGGTGCTTCGGTGACGCGCTAACAGAAGGTCCCATCTTCTCATAGTCGGGAATTGTAACATTCGGGAACCTGGCGACTCGGAGCCTTCCATTCGCAACTCCGCAGCCTGAATATATGTGTCGTCCCCATCTTCGTTGCTTGGTCTTGGTTTTTCGGGACGGTGAACGCGCATTTACCGCATTTTCCGGACTATTCCTTAGGAGCAAGTTTCGGGTGAAGAACAAAACGGTTTTCCTTGGAGGGTCCGCGCCTGGTGCAAAGTGCGGACGTTAAAACTAATTTATACACAGGACACCTAAAGAAATACATGCTTTGTTAGTACACAAAATCTTCTATCATAAAGAAATTACAACTAAGGTTGTCATTCCCGAAATGCTTCAAATTCGCCATAATGAGCGATATTTAAAATAAAAATATTAATTCGCGCCTGTAGATAGTCCGCACCGCGGCGTAATATTTTATCTTTTAAACATTTGAGGGTCGCGGACTGTAGTGTGAATAATACCGTAATGCGGTTTCCCTTTTTTCACAATTCAGCCGCCAGGTCGTATTCAGTTTTCGCTGCACACTTGGATTAGTGGTAGCTGCCTGCTTGTCGCCTTGACGTTTTTCTTTTTAATTAGTTAGCATTAGAACGCTCGGCTCGACGAAAACCCGGCGGTGTCTCGTTTTTCAGCGCCCGGAAGAAAGCGAGAAAGAGGAGGAGAGGCTGACGCGTGCGACGCTCCCATAGGTTCGAAGCGTTGACGTCAGCACGCGTCAACCTCTTGCTCTCTCCCCGACGCTGACGAACTGACAGACACCGCCGGGTTCTCGTCAAAACGATCGATCCCTCTCGTTTTCATCAATGCCACGCGCACAGCCGTTGCGAAGCCAGAGCGGAGGACGCACCGCGGCGCGGTGGAATGCGGGCGTGCTCAGTTGCTGCTCTGGCGTCGCCGGTTGTTCTTCGGTTTGGGTTTTCGTTGTGGCGGTGCGTGAGTTGTAATGATTATGTGTAGATAAAACGATGGATCCGATTTCCTCCAAGAGTGATATAAATGCGGTTCCTTCCACTAGTTGTATGAATGTGATTCCTTCCATGATTGATAGGGTTGACCGTATCCGAGGGCGTCGCGTACTCTGATAGGGAGAGTACAAAAAAGGGGTGACGAAAATTACAGAAAGATTCATTGGTGGATTCTTACGGAATGCGTCAGCATAACGCTCGGCAAAGGCCACGCACGCCCCCTTTTGGGAAACGCTAACACTGAACTCATAGCGAGGCCAGAAAGAGGCAGGGAAAATAAAGAAAGCAAAAGATGAAAAATGGAGGGGTCAGCGTTAGCGATTCCCGAATGTGGGACGAGTGTGGCGTTTCCCAAGGTTCATGCTAACGCTCCCTAACAGTCCACCAGTAGACCTTTCTGTAACATGTTTTAGGATGTGTGAATTTGCCTTTTTGAAGTGGCGAAGAAACGCTGCTGTAAGGCACGTAGAACGAAAACGATAGGTTTGTACTTGCGTTGACACTCGTATTGTATGCGAAAAACATAAATAAGCAAAAAGTGTTATTTTTTTTAGCTTCGAGCATGTGTGAGGTTTACTTATTTATTTGTGTTTATTGATGCCATTCATTTGCAAGCTTCTTAAGGAGTGAGTCACCTAATAACTGAAACAAAACGTTAACAATAATAAATAGAAAGTTAAGATATTTTCCCGCAATATATAAAAATGAGCGCATGCAGGAAATAAAGACTATTCCAGAGCCTATTATTTAAATAAGGAATATGGAGTCACATTCTTGTTGTACAGCCCATTAGACTAAGATGGTAGCACGCAGAAGGCTATGATTGGAATCACCTCTACACTGGTTGTTTGGAAAACGTGCAAATAAAAATCCGATTTATTGGTTAACACACGCTGAGATAGACATAAACAAACGCAACACTTAAACAAAATTAAATACAATGGAACAGGTAGAACCGAACAATTAAAAGGATATCGATCATACGTATACAGTCAACGCCTCTGATATAAAGAACAGTGACCTGGTTAAAAAAAAAAGAAAGAAAAAAACACGAATAGTTGAAACTAAAGTACCAGGATAAAAATACACAATAGGAAGATCGAAATTAAATCTATCAAAGAAACTAGGTGCAATATATAGTCATCGCATGTCTTGAAAACATGGTCTCTGCATATTTTAACTTGATAATTCACAGAAGTTACAAAGTAATGTTATCACTTATAAACATATTCTATTTTTCAATTGCACCCCAGATAAATGCGAGCTCAAAACAATAATTTTGAAAACGTGTTTCTGTAATGTAGAGTCACGCAACAAGTTCATGGCTTCACGCGACTTCGCTTTTGTTTTCATCTGAGGGTCGCCACCTATTGCGAGTCCATCCAAGTATTTATACCACACAGTTTGGATCATCCGCAGTCGCTGAGGTCAGTCCCTAGACAATACCGACTACGTTTCCATGGGTGCAGGCAAAGTCCATTGCAGCACGGATGTCCCTAGGGTAATAGTTTTCTTCACACAAGTTCACGAACAGATGCAGATGACCAAGGGCATAAGGATTAGCAGAGAGCTTGAAACATTTGAAGTCGAAGTACTTTACTACACTCTCGTAGCAGGCTCGGTTTTTCAACGGTAACTTTGAACTCAACAAATGCGCTGCTTTTTCCCCGTCACCGTTTGCAAGAATGTGGGCGATGTCTGCAACTTCGTTCCTCAAGAAGAGTCTTCTGCGCTTCATGTCATCTAGCTTGTGCTTCAGGAAGAGCCGCAACAAACGGTCAGTCGTCTTTTCGAGGGTTCTGCGTACTATTTCCACGGGGACATCCCTGCTGTCCACCAAGTCCAGTGGGGCCCTGGGTAGAAGGATAGGAGCCGTTTCTTTCCTGCCCTGAAACGCACTGAGCTTCATACGTCCCAATTGCATGTCGCCGTACTCCATAACGTGACTGGTATTAGTCTCCGCCTTAACAATCTGGAACTGCCGTAAAAGTGTTTCTCTGCGCAGGTCTTCGCGGTCGGAGTCCTCCATCCAGCTGACACTGTAAAGGTCACCCAAATAGGTGTTCCGGAGGGCGTCATAATAGCAGGCGTAAGAAGATTCGTTCGGGTTTGCAGCAGTCGTTGCGTAGACGTTGATGTCGTCGGGAAGCAGCCCATCAAAAATAGACCCAGACTCGCACGCCTCGATATAAAGAACCATCTTGCCGAACCTGTTTTCCGCGGCCATCGTCTTGATGGTGTCGCTCAGCTGGGTTGCCATCAGGCTCGCTTCCGGAAAGCACAGGAGACCGGGGGCTCCATGGTCGGAGAAAAAAACGAATACGTGATCTCTAGGACCGCTGGCTATAACCTTGCCGCTTCCAGCGTTGACCTGCCTGCCCTGTAAGACGTTCAGGAAGTTCTCCGGGGTCACCTGCTGGCCGCTGTAGTCGACGGGGACTCCCAAGTAGACGTTAGAACCGTTTATGTGGTTGATGACCACTCCAGGGGTTGGGTTCTCCTCGTTGAAAGCAATGTCGTCGTACATCATGACTACGATTCGGTCATCCGGGATCCCGTGGTTGTGGAGGACCTGATACGCGTGACAGACATCGGCCTGGTGACGGTAGTTGTCCCATCCGCTAGACCCGGCCACCAGGAGAGCCCATAGCTTGACGTTGGCATTGTCCTCGAGTAGAGGGGTTTCTTCCAGTTCACTGAGCACGAATGAAGCGCTGCAAGTTGTAGGGGAAAACAGAACTCCCAGGAGTAGGAGGAACGTGCACAACCAAGGCATCACGGCTTCGTACGGACGCCGCAGCGTCTTGTTCAGGTAGGTAGTTGGGAAGATCTGAGGCTAGTTGTTTTCGAAAGGGACACGCCGATAGCAAACTGAAGTGGTGGTCATCGATGAAGTGCGACGTGCGAAGCAGAAAGGGAGTAGGTTTGGCTTATCAAGAAGCAGCTCCATACAAGAACAGAAGGAAAGAGGAAAGATTGAGTGCGACTTAAGTGATAGCCTGAAAGGATCGAGGCTGGTACGATAAAGATGCCGCCGCTTTGAGGAGTTCGTCTTAAGGCACCACTTCTCTGGTGAGTGGAGAAGATAACCTGTGTCCAGGCAAGGGGCCCGGACACGGCACCGGTATGGAAAACGAGAGGGATAATACTTCGCTGATAACTTCAAGGTCGAAGTCAAATGTTTTGTTTTGCACTACAATGGGAAATCAGCCTAGTTTGAAATGCCGTACTATGTTTCCGCTGCATGAGCGTGCTGTAGTCAATGCGGTAACCACTAAGCTCACGTGTCTTGTCGTGCTGGTTGCAGGAAGTGCGCCGGTATAATGTTATTTCGTATTACACGCGGCAGAGCTTAAAATGTCTGAACCTGCGGCGCCAGTTTTTGTTTCTTCCTTCAAGTGCCTAGCACTTATGAGGGCAGCTTTTCGGGTTTCTGTGTTTGTGGGTGAATGTAGCCATGATTGGTGACGTCACGGCGTTCACAACAGTTGATGCCAGAACGGGGTGCTGGAACGGTTGCAATACCTCAGAGAAAAAAACTCTCGGGTCTTTGTTTTTGCATGACTTTTAGACATCACGTGACATTGTGATGTATTGGGGTCACATGACGCCACATATGACCTGTAGATGTTATGAATATAAAGCGCCTTTTGGTATATACCAAACAGGCAGCTTTTTCTTCGCCGACTTCTGTGCTGTAGCGCGTGAACAGCACGTCGAGGTTGTTCGACCTTCTCAGATGTCCAGGAAAAAATCCTACCCCTCTCATAAGCAAATCTACAAGCCTATTTTACCATATATTAGTGTGGTTTGTGGCGGACATTTTTAAAATTGGCGATGGTCTTTACTTTGCGTCATTTTAATTTTTCTGCGTAAAAGTAAAATTACTCTCCCTCTTCTATAAAAAGAAACAAAAATAGTTATAACGTTTAAGGATTTTCAACATGTCGGAAGTTTTTTATGCGCCTTTTAATATACTTAGGCATAAAAAAATTCCTCGTTGTATCATACCCGCCCAGTTATCTAATACGTTAAGATATTTGTTTAATACAGTCTAGAAGTGGTTATTCGAAACGCAATTTTATTTGTGAATTAGTTAGGAAACCATACATCTCAGCAATGACTATTTTGTTTTTGAAAAAAAACACAACAACTTGTGATTATGAAAGTTCTTTAAAAAATGTCAGTTTATAAAGCAGTTAAGCAATTGTGAGCTCTTAGTCTCAGGCACATTATGTGTCAAAATCTGGCTAAATGCATAAGTAATTTCAGCTAGGTAATCCTATATTAAAATAAGGATTGTATTCTGCTCGAAATAAGGAATATTAATTTATGTTTTCTTTCTTCATCATCGGCACTACTTCTAATGTAAATTTGGGTTTCGGGCGGCGGAGAAAAGCTCACCGGAGAAAAGCTCACCGCGAAACCGACAGATACGGAGAAAAGCTCACCGGCTCTTCAGCGGATGTGGAGAAAAGCTCACCGATATTTTTTTTTAGCTTAGCTTGATTCTGTGTCAAACGCGGCAATTTAACACAATTTGCATTCGTCACTTCATTAAAATATGTCCTCGTTTTTGTAATATTCTTGAAGTTCATTGGGCATATTTACAAACTCCTCAGAAATTAGTAATCACCCATTTTGTAAATTAATGAAGCCGCAAGTATAAAATGAGAACATCGTACACCGGTAAAAAAGGCAACAATTTATTGACAGCTGAGTGTGCGCCGTCGGTAGCTCTGTCAGATAAAAAGGTTTGTTTTTTTGCGACCTAATCTGAATAGCGGTGCGTGAATCTCTTAAGATCCAAATATTGTGTAGCGCCCAATAGATAAGAACTGTTTGTTGATGTAATCAGTGTCAGCTGCGCTGTTTTTTTTTCTGTTAATTTTACTAACAAAACTTTAGTTGCGAGAACAGCTTCGTCGTGTCGTGTTTGTTGTCTTCACTCCGTCGTCGTCTTTTGAGCGTTTTCTTTATGTATAACGTTTACCAACTCGCCCAATTCACTACCTACCCTACAAAAGACTAGTTCTTATATAGCTCACAAGTAAGAACGGTGACAGTGTGCACCTCTGAAGGTCATGGGTGGCTCACCGTAGAAGGGCACTATCACACAAAGGGAACGTGTGGAAACACCAGCGCGAACGGCTAAGAAGCGTGCATGTCCGTGGAAGAAAGAAGCCTCGATATCCTATTGGCGGTTTTATCCTGTTTTCAAAGGTTATCAAAAGCTTCAAAGAGAATTTCAGGCACCGCTTTCTTGCGCATGCACTTTTGGATTCTCGGCATTTACAGCTTTGATTTTTAGATTTTAGGCAGTCATCATTAAGTTTTTTTTTAACTTTTTCCTGTTCTTCAAGTTATAAAGTTAGGCTTTCGGTGCCTAGAGAGTAAGCCACTGAAAACGCCCGCCCGCGATTATTACTTTGGGAGCAATATAGCCAATAAGCTTAACACATATTAAAAAAAGACATTTTCTTTTTTACAAAGCTGACGAATTTTAATGATACTAAATTGATATATGTTACGCATGATCCAACAGCCTCCATATAAAAAGAAGAAAATATATCGGTGAGCGTTTTTCCGCATACGATGAATCGCCGGTGAGCTTTTCTCCGCATCCGCCCGTTTTGCGGTGAGCTTTTCTCCGGTGAGCTTTTCTCCGGGATTCTTGGGTTTCATGCTGGTTGAAACGAAATCTTGGACAATTTTCCTAAAGACGTTAAACAAAAGCCGGTCGTCTTCATGCCTGTCAATATCAAGTCTGATTGATAGTACCATCTGGCCGATGATATGCCGTGGACAAAGTATTTTTAGGGGGAGAACAGATACCCGTTCTGATCACTTCACAGAAAACACAGGAAACGCTTTTCCATCCTTCCCAAATGTACAGTTCAGGACAAAGCAAACCTATACTACATGAGCTTCCTAACACGGAATGTAATGCTGAAGAAGTCGCACTTTTGAATCATAACGTTCGGCAGTTGCGTCTGCTCTGTACAAGTACCAAGACGGCGGCGCCCACAATAATATCGGGTAACAGAGTGCCGATACCCTAAGCGTAGCTCATTTAGTGGCTCTATTCGGAGCCAGTCGAAAGTCAGGGCAATATCTTTGACAATAGGAACTATACTTCGTCTCACCCTAGCCAACACCACCTAGACAGAAGGCCTCCACACGCGTCATCATAGTCAGATCGATCGAGGCGAAAGATTGGGCACGAGTGCTGCGTCAGTGTTCGGCTGCGGCTCGTGGCCAATCAGCGCGTCGAAGGTCGGGCTCGGGTCCAATAGCCGACCGAGCGCGATCCGACTGTGATGACGTTTCATAGAAGAAGAGGAAACCATGCGGAGGCCTTCTGTCTAGGTGGTGTTGCCCTAGCATGGACTAACCGCGAAGGCTGTGCTAGCGCGAGCGGCCAGCCTTGACTGCCTTGACTAGAGCACTTGCTGCACGAGCGCTCGTGCAGCCGCCGCAGCTTCATTCAAAGTGACTAGCTCGCGCTTTTAGCACGCGCGGCTAACAATGGTCCATACTAAGGTGAGATGAAGTGAGATGACCGCACGCCCCGCGGTCAAGGTATCACCCGGGCGTGCGCTTAAAAGTATGTTTCGAAAGTTCTGGTAGTGTGGTACGCGCTACACGCTGACAGTCTGCTAAAAGTCGCTATTATTCCTCGTGCCCCGCACTGGACGCAGGCCCCGGCCGGTGATGCGGGACGCTGGACCAAGGAAATGTGCCTCGCCTAGATCGGCGCCCAACAGCTCGTGGCTCGAGCCCACCCCGAGTGCCCGACCTGCATGCGCAACTTCGAGCATGCAACTCGTTTTTTTTTTTCCGGAAAAATTCTGCGCCAGTTAGGAGGAAAAGGCTACACATATATCGCGGCGTCACTAGTCGCAGTTTTTAGCTACCGTCTTATAACGCATAGAGTCTAATAAGCGGAGGAGTAGACGTTATAAATATGTGTTCATCATTGTAAATCGTGTGAAATTGTAACACCGAGAAATTTTATATAAAGAAACGACACTTTTTTGCTATATTAATGTGGGACGATTCATCAAAATATATCCGCATTTGCTACACGTCGCTCCACTGCATTAAACATTCTAAATTCTTGCTGGGATATGATTAATCATTTGTGTTGTTTATTAGAGAATAAAGAAAAAATTCATCTTCAAATAGCTTTGTTGGTTTTTGTATGTGTGAACAATGTCTGATGTATTAACTACAGCAACGTCGCGAAGACCGACCCCTGAGGCACTCGTGATGATACGGGAAAAGGGGCAGATATGGTTTATTCATTTTCAACTCTGACTTCGATTTGATGGATAAGCCTCAATTAGTGTTGTGCCAAATGCTCATCAAAAGTGTTTAAGATAAGATAGTAAAAACCATTTCAAAATGCACTAATAGTAGTAGCTAAGTTATATTTTACTACGAACTATTTTGAGTATAAGGTACAAATACTTTGAAAAAATTAATTTAGTTAAATTCACAGGTACTCGGCTAGTAGGTTGCAAGCTGGTAATATAATAATAATAAAAAAGTAAAACGGCGTGCTCTATTGTGATCACTCCGCTGAAAATCACGTCTTTATGACTTTAAAGGCCTGTTCCCACATGCAGCGGAGCGCTACAAGCATAGCGCTTACCTCGCGCTAAGCGCGTGCTGGTGGGAGCGTTCACCAGCTTTGTATCGCACCGTCAAAACTGTTGCTCATGGCAGACGATAAGTAGCTGACGGCACGTGAGGAGCGCTACATCAGCGCTTCGCTGCATGTGAGAACCGGCCTTAAAAGGGCGACTTAGCGGCTGCAATCGAAGTTTACTTTGCAATAATTCGGGATATGCTACGTAATTGATATCGAAAGATGTTAAGAACAAGGGGAACTTACGTATTGTTGGCATGA